TCTGCCTTTGCACTACAATACGTGAACGTCCTTTGCAGATCTCCCCATAATCGCTCTGATCCCTTTGGCATGAGCACACCTACGGACCTGAATCGGCCTATGAGCTTGCCACCTTATGGACAAATGCAGCAGCCGCAAACACAGCAACAACAACAGCAGCAAAATGGTCAGTCACAACAACAGAATTCTAGTCAATGGATGTGGTAGCAGCATATATGAACTTGTTTCATCTTATAACTGAAAGTGTAAAATGTTGCTATCATTTGCGTGGAATGAGTCACCCTGCAAGGGTTCCATCAATCATGCGTTGTTGTACATACTGTTTTACTCTTTTTTCTTTTTGATGAAGGTTTCACTCTTTCTATCTTGGATAACAGTATGCGCGAATATTAGTGCTCTTAAGATAAGTCAGCAGACACTATTCCTGCTGCACTTTGTGGAGACGTAGCATCACTCTCCAACGCAGTATGAAGAGTCAGTTTGAATATCAAAGACTGTCTGAATGAGAGTGCCATATCACAGGTTTGTCGGGCCTTGCGCAGCGTTCGCGAACTTATGCTCTGCTTTGTGCTGAGCTGTGGCTGGTTATGGAGACTGGTGAAATCTCTATAGGACATGTTCGCTACTGCGCAACACTCACTGAGACGGCTTATGCAGCTATCCTCATACTGCGCGGTTTAGTTTTCAGTAAATGCGCAAACCAAATACCAAAGCTTTTGATTTGTTTAGTGTTCTTTCATTTACTGATCTCTTGCGATAGGTAGTCTAAACCTAGCTGGACTACTAGCCCATCGCCGTAGCTTCCCGCCATAGTTCAGACACATTTATTTCTATGACGTATCACTAAGGGGTGCAACAATAGAAATTAACAATGTAAGCAGGTGGCAAGATACAAGCATAAAAATTTAACAAGTTCAAAATTGACCGGTGTTACATACAGGCATTCTAGAATTGAATTTGAGAAGAAAGTCTATTTAAGCTGTCGCCGACACTGGCTCTGAGGTTTCTTGTTGGTCAAGAATAGATTTAACCCGTCGATCTGATATTCTGCAATATGAACCTAATATTACTGGAATCAGTTACTCATGAACTTACCCAAGAATGATGAGTGGTATGATTAGAAGGGCAGCGCTTAGTAGGTGAAAGAAACCAGGGAAAAAAGATAGGGTTTTGGGGTAGAGGTTGTTGTAAATGGCAGTGGCTAGGAGTCCCATCACTCCTTCCAATAAGGCAATGAGCGAAAACATTTTCCCTAAACAATGTAGGTTAGAAGAAATACTCGAATGTACGCGTGATGTCAATGGTTGCTGATTTACCTTGCTCACTAGACTGAACCAGTCCAGATATGAATGATCGAAATCCGGTTGAAACAAAGCGGTTAAGCGATGTGAACACTAAACAGAGACGGGCTTTGCAGATATTCATTTAACCTTTCAAAATGTACTGACCAATGACCGAATAAGCCATTGCAGAGTTGTATACGAAGGCGAGCATTATCAAAGCTGTCATTTTTGCAGTCAAACCTGCACATCCAAGAATCCCATCCGTGAAGCCTTTTATGGACAACAGCGGATAGATAATCAGCACCTAAACTTTGAACTTGTAACGCCACATTTTTAGATGACTTACTCACAGTCGCTGTTGTAACTCCATATTGCAGCCCACTAAACCATCCATACTGCTTATCTCCCCAACTCAGTTTGAATCGCAGATAAGAGTATTGAATGTCCATCAATCCTGAACTTCCACTTTTGAACGGATACCATGACAATACAAAAAAAGGAGAGCAGCATACAATCTAACCTGCAAAAATGAGCAGCTCCACTCCTAGCGCAAATAAGTTCAGGTAGAGCAGGAGCCGATTACTTCGCTTAGTTGTCAAAAGCTGCCAGTAATCCAAAAAAGCTGCAGCTGATTCCTTCATGACTAAGGACACGAATCCTGAACTGACAAAATGCATACGCATAGTCTTCGCAAAAGCATGCAAGGTCCCAAGAGAATGTACTCAATGTTTACTTGGTAATTTTCTCTATCTCAATCAATCAAACTCTTCTCTTTTAAGTGAAATAATATTGAGAGACTTGTTCATTTCGCTAACAATGAAAACTCAAGTTTCCTCTTCAACTACTAACTCAAATTCTCTACATCGAACGCGAATCCACATGTCAATCAGTCAAAAAGTGAGTAATTCTCTAAGGACATCCATGTTCCTTCACCAACCTTGGTGTTCTCCGTCCTCTATACTGCTGGGTCGCTTTGAATCTTTAGCAAAAATGAGAATATAGAAGAATGCAAGTACTTGCAGAACAAGCATCAACAGAAATGTGTACGAGTAACCCAGTGCTCTGAAAAATCTCTCTCTCGAAATCGAGGAAAACTTTTTGAGAACTGGTGTCAAAGTAGTTATAGCCTTAAAGGCAGCGTCCCCTCAAAATGGGGTGTATCTAGATGCCTTGCCATGGGGAGACGGTCAAGAGGCGCGACTCCTCTGGCTGTCACCAACTCAAAACTCAAGTTTAGTGCCGCGCATGTCCTCAAAAAATACCAGACAAAGTACATTGGCT